CAGGTCTTTGGCTGGTGTGACTCCTTAGAAACATATCAGTGCTTTTATTTTCCTGAAGATACCTGGGCTTGGTCACCTGCTTTGTCCTTTACTACCATCACTGCACTCTACTACTGCCTCCTGTTGTTTCCGACTCTTCTGATTCATTTGATTCCATCTCTGAAATGAGCCCTTGAAAAGATTTTACTATTAGTGATGAGAAAACATAAATAAGGAATACAAAAAGGCAACTTTATTATTTCTTTATTGAAGCTGTAAAACACCTGAATATCTATATTGGGTCCTAAGAGGAAAACTTTTAGGGGAGATTTGCTTCCTTTCTAGCCCCAAGCCTTAAGAATGATGAGTCGTAAATAAATTGAGCCATGTACATCTAGTTTCTGTTAAAAGTTAGGGCCCTGGCATTGTATTAAAACCAAACTCATTGCCTTCAAGTCGATTCTGACTCATTGTGACCCTATAGGACAGAGTAGAACTGCCCCATAGAGTTTCGGAGGAGTGTCTGGTGGATTCGAACTGGTGACCTTTTGGTTAGTACCCGAGCTCTTAACCACTGTGCCATCGGGGCTCCGAGTCATATTACCTGGGTTTAATTCTAGATCTGCTACTTACTAGTCATGTGACCTTGGGCAAATTACATAATCTCTCTGTGCCTCGGTTTCCTCATCTGTAAAATGGGGATAATAATAGTATCTACCTCACAGAGTTGTTGTTAGGGTTAATGAAATTACACACACACACACACACACACACACAAACACACACATCCTTGCAATGCTAAATACTCAATAAATGCCAGCTAGTATCATTAATTCCTTGGGTGGTACAAATGGTTAAGGTGCTTGTCTGCTAAAAAAGGTTAGAGATTTGAGCCCACCCCACTTAAACACTCCTTAGAAGAAAGATCTGTAGCGATCTACTTCTGAAAAACTCAGCCATTGAAATCTATGGAGCATAGTTCTTCTCTGACACACATAGGGTTGACATGAGTTTGAGTGGACTCGGTGTCAGATTGGTGATTATTATTAAAATGCCTCACCCTTTTGTTTGTGCTAGGCCCTAGGAATTTAGATATGAGTAAAATAAAGCCCCTGCTGTCAAAGAACTAATAAAGAAAAGGCAAGGGGAACAAATAAATAATACAGTCCATCATGAAAAATTGGATAATTGAGATACACGTGTAGTGTGAGGTGGGCTAGAGAAATGAGTTGTGCTGAGGCAGACTGGGGATAGATCAGGGAAGGTTTGACATAGGAGAGACTTCAGCAGATTTTTGAAGGATGAATTCTGATCTCTGAAGGGTGAAGGTGGGGATTCTATAGGTCACTACTTTCTGGGGAGCTTTGAGAGAAAAAAATACATATTTTTGGTTTCAGCCTGTGGAATCTTTGGGGGCTGGGCATCTGTGTCTTTTTTTTTTTTTTAAGTTTCCCAGGACTTTCTGATGCAGATAACGTGGTATTTTGAAACCACTGCTGTCGTTTTCTTAGGGATTTTAAAGTTAAAAAAGAAGGAATTTAAACATTTGGTCTTGGGAATCTAAAGTGAATACCATACTGCCATTTTATATACTGACTTGGTGATTTTATTGTTTGTGTGATAATCTTCTGCTAGGTGGTTAATATAAACTACCGTTTGATTAACCAAAAAACCAAACCATACCCATTGCCATTGAGTTGATTCCTACTCATAGCGACCCTATTGATTAAGTGTGTGTGGGTATCAGGGTGTCTTTGGTTCATTAGCCTTAGAAGCAATTTTGTTGTAGAATACCTAGCATTTTAATTTACATAATTTTGCATAAGTAGTGTTTTTCAAGGAAGATGAGAAGAAAGAATGTATCATTCAGAAATTGCCGGTATAATCCATGGTTGATTGGTGTTTATGGCAGTATAACGTGGTAGTAGTGCTTCATGATATGCCATGTATTCGGGGTAGAGCCAGTAGATATTAATGATGAAATACCTTGTGACATACAAAATCTGCTTGTTAGATAGAGAAATGGCTGGAGTAAAGAATTTGTAAACAGAAGGACAAAAATACTTACTTTTAGCATATAGTTAGCTGTTCACAGTATTTTGTTAGCAAAGTTTGTGTTTTTTTTTTAAAGAAAGAAACAAAATTCTGTAATGGAAATAGTTTCATTTTACCTAGCGAACTCTAGAGGGTGCTGTATCATTAGGGATAATAGTTTGAACTGACTAGCTAATTATAAGAATTTCCTCAGGTCAGAGCGTTGAAGTTAATTTCTCTTGAATGTACTTTACATCTTTTGTTACTATTTTCACTGAAATTAGAATGACTAATGTTGCATAAAGGTACCCTGTGGCACAATGGTTAAGGCTTGGCTGCTAACTGAAAGGTTGGTGGTTTGAACCCACCAGCTGCTGATGGGGAGAAAAGACCTGAAGATCTGCTCCTGTAAAGATTACAGCCTAGGAAATGCTGTGGGGCAGTTCTCCTGTGTCATATGGGGTCGCTATGAGTTGGAATGTCACACACAACAACAACAGTGTTGCATAATTGATATAATCAATGTTGGGCTAATAGTACTTGATTGCAAAATGTTTTTCATCTTCCAGATTCTATGAATACAGTTGAAATGATGATTTCCCACTGTTATATTTGTGAGAATAAACCCATTGCCATCGAGTCGATTCCTTTTCCACCACTTGCCTTTAGCCTCCCCTCCCAAATTGAGAATATCTGAAGTAAAATTGATGGAAGGTAGAAGCAGTTTTTTCCTCTTTTCAGATGGGTCTTAGTAGGTCAAAAGGTAACCAAACTGTTACGGGAATGTATATTTTAGGTAGATCTGGTTCGGAAAAGTATTATCTTTAGAAGAAAAATTGGTAGAACAAGTGGAGTTTTGTTCTGAACCAGTTTCTAAAGAGGGCAGAATTTAGAGGCTGTTTTTGTTGAGATAGAAGACTTTTCTGGCTCATTAAGTTATTCAGAGGAGTTCCGTAAATTCCAAACTTTAATTATTCCCTAATTATTCTTGGTTTAATGATGTCTTTAGAAAACTTGAGGTAGAATTATCTGATAATACTTATATCTTAAAGGATGGCTTTTAGAAATCAGTTCTTAATAACTTTTAGGTTCAGTGTCACCAGTGCTAAGAGTTCAGAAATTTTTTGAACTTGGTCAAGTTAGACTAAGAGGTATATTTTGGAGTAAAAGGCAATGCTAAGTCAGCTATATTTTACAAAATTACCAAAAATTTTAGATAAATATCTTTCTAAAATGCATACATTTTAAATGATTCTGTGACCATAACTTTGCCAGGAACCTCTTCATTTTTCCTGAAACCATATCTTAAATATTTATTATGAAGTTTTATACTACAGTTCCTGAAAAGTTTGAGCAGGAATTTGTTCTCCCACTCCCCCAAAAAGTGAAAGCATTTACTCTTGTTATGGGAAAAAGGATTGCTATTGTTTAAGCTTTCTCATTAAACAAGTATACTTTTTTTCTTTTTAAACTCTCAAGGCACCACCTTCTATGGTCAGTAATGAGCAGCGCCAGCATGCAGAGCACATATTCTTATCATTTAGGAAATCAAAATCACCATTTGCAGTTTGCAAGCATATTTTGGGTAAGTATTCACTTTAAAAATATTTTTGCATAATCAGATCTAGTTTTTCTGTCTTGAACATTGGATATTTCAGTTTCGTTTAAAAACAAATAGGTTTGTATGGTTATAATTTTCCGTTAATAATCATTCTACTGAAGTGTCTTTAAAGATATTCTATAAAGCAAGACAGAAAACTCTGTTTTTAATTTTTTTTTTTAAACAGATAGTGTTCAATGATTTGTGTTATTATTGACTAACATGAAGGTTGTTAATGGTGGGAAAAATTAATGTTTTTTCAGTTTTTCAAGTGTGATATTATTTATTACAGGGAATGTACAATAATATATCTTATCCCCGTTTTCTAAGTGTTAGCTTTAAAATTAAGATTGTTAAGCCTAACATGTAATATATTTTACTATGTTAGAGCAATTTAAAAAATTTAAACCACTTCAGTATTTATTGGTAATTTTAAGCCTTTTTGGAGGTTTCTACATTTTCTTTCTTTTAGTTTTTCCTCATAGTTTTTTTTTTTAACCATTTAATTTTTACTCAGCTTGCTTAGCAGATATTACTCAGTTCCAAATAGATTGTTACTGTATATCCTAAAAATAAAGCATTGATTTTTTGTTTTTATAAAATATGCTTTATGAGTCTCCTGTATCTGATATATGTACAGAAATGATATCTTTTAAAACAATCATAAGAATTATAATCTCTTATTCAAAGATGGCATTTGCTAATAAGGGTTATATAATGCTGCCATTTGCCTCTTAGATATTTTTCAGTAACAGAAAGAGAGATTTCACTGGTTATTGTTACTTTATAACCTGATCATTTTTGGCTGTTTTTGTAATTGGAACCATCTTTTATAAGCCATATTTAAGGCTCAAAAAGGCTATTTGAGTTTTCCATGATGACAGAATTGGTTAGTTGAGTATTAGGGACTAAAACATCTGACCTTTTTATTCTTGTGTTTATGGTAAGGCGTTTATAGTAAGGCTTCTCTGTTAGCCACCAACGCTCTGGTTTCCAGATTGAAATAAATTACAATTAAAATTATATGTTAAAATGCTTTACCTAGAGGGGCTTATAAATAAGCATTGTTAGATTTTAGTAGAAAGAGCACTGAGTAGGAACCAAGTGATCCAGGTTCCAGTGGTGCCTGCTGTAGTTTGCAAACTTAAGGAAGTCTCTTAACCTCCCTGGGCCTGTTTTTCATCTGCAACATGATACCAGTTTCCTTAATGAACTTGGCTATTTTAAGTCGTTGTGAGGCTCAAATATAATAACATTTAGAAAAGCACTTTATAAACAATAAAAAGCCCATTGCCATCGAGTTGATTCCAGCTCACAGTGACCCTATAGACAGAATAGAACTGCCTCATATGATTTCCAAGGAGCAGCTGGTGGATTCAAACTGCTGACCTTTTGGTTCTAGCAGCCATAGCGCAACATAGCTCTTAACCACTGTGCCCCCAGGGCTCCTGTAAACAGTAAGGTAGTATATAAATGTCATGCCACATTACCTCATTTTAAATGGCTTCTTAAAAATATAATAAGCTTAAAAAATTCTGTTTTCTGTCTCATTTAGGAATTAGATCTTATCATTAGAAGAAGTGCTTTAACAACCACCTTTTAAATTCTAAATGAGGCAGTTTTTTATTTTTATATTTTTGAGTGGTCACTTTTTATACCTGAGTGAATTTGTTTCTGACACTAACAAAATTTCTTATCTTACACCTATGCAGAATATATTAACTGAATGTTAAATTAAAAGAAGCAAAACTAAATGTCATTATAAAGAGTTTAAGGGAGTGTTACCTCATCCTTACTGCCTTGAAATTGTTTAGCATTAATAGATTTAGATTGAGTTAAACTGTTAAAGTAATTTGAGTTTGGTTTTCTTGGCATACGCTTTAAGTACATTAGCTAGGATTTCATCAGTGTTTCATTTGACTTTCTATTGTAAATTAGTAGTTATTCTATACTCGTTTGGAAATAGTTGATTTAAATCATAAATATTTTATTAGAGCATGTTTGTTTATACCACTCTTTCCTTTTAGAGTGTGTATATTTTATGAATATTATTGCTTTGTCACTATTTGAGCTTGTGTTGGAATACTTTTGTTTTCCTGATAAAATTTTCTAAAGAGTAGTATTTCTAGTTCCGGCTGTGCTTTTAAAATCAGTTTGGGTTTTGAGATATTAACTATTTAAAAGTATGACTGCATGTATTAAAGCATAACCATTAATGTACTGCAAAGCCTTGTGTTACATTAATGTTTACATCTAAACTTCACAGAAAATCTTCTAACTCCTTACTTAGTTGCCACCAGCACAAAAGGGTTAATTCCTCTAAGAAGACTTCTCATACAAGTGGCAGTCAATCACAATTCAGAATTTTCACATTCTTATTTAGGGATTATATTTCATTTGTATAGAACGTCTGGGTAGTGTATTCTAATAAAGGGGAAGACTTTCTCTTTGATGCTTCCCTTTTCTGGCCTCTTAAAATTGTGCCTTCTCGTTTCTAACTTAAGTTTTATATGTTTCTGGTTTTTCCTCATTTCTTTCTCTTATCTCTTTGTTTTTGTTCTATTTTTCATTTCCTTTGCTCTTTTCTGAATGTGTGCACTTGTGTGCATGTGTGTGCTTGTCCATTTTGTCAGAAGAGCACTTTTAGACTTCTTTACCTCAGAAGCCTTTGGCACTTAATTGGTCTTGTAGGATCAAATGTACCTTCAAAAACCTGTGAGTTCTAGTCTTGTTAAAGAAATACCGTATTTTTTTGTAAATAACGTGCCCATGTAAATAATGTGCCCCACACATGATGTGCATAGCATGCCTAGGAAATAATGTGCGAGGGGGGGTTGCACAGTTGACAAAAAAAAACGTACAGCACACTTGTTATTTTTGTAAAAATACGGTACCCAAGAACAGTGGAGAATTGGTTTCTGGAGGTAATTTTGTAGCATTCTTTTGTCCTTCTTTCAGAAGTACACTTTTTAATCTCACTTTTCTTTTACTTCTTATCACAGAAGTAGCCAAAAAAAAAAAAAAAACCACCAAAAAGTCAGTTATTAATAAGCATTTTCTTCTCTAAATATGGAAAATTGTTTTCGTAAGTAATGCTGTGTAATGACTGTCATCTTCCAGCTGAGACTGGTTGGTGGGCATGTCTTTTCTTGGTCAGAGAGCAGACCTTGTGCATGGAGCTCACATTGCCTTTGCTTTGGAAAGAAATCTTTAAGGCCAAGGAGTGATTGTAGCAGCTGAGCATCTGTGGCTTGAATACTAGGGTTTCTTCTTGTTTTTTTTTAAGCTCTTTTGACCAGAATGTAGTACTATTCCTTTCTCATTATTTGCTTCACTATAACTTGTGTCTCCATGTATTTGCTTCACTATAACTTGTGTCTCCATGGCTCTGTTTAGTTTCAGATGACTGATGAGATACAAGTGAATTTTATTTACATAATTATTATTAAAAGAAAGTTACCATGGTAGGAAGTAAAAGCTTCCTGCTAAAGCAGCCTAAACTAATTTAGTATCTAGGCAGTGTCCTAGTCAGTGACAGGTATTCCTAAAAGTGGTTTCTTCAGAAATTCTAGATGAACTGTGAGTTCTTCCTGAAGACTTTGCAGTTTAGAGCATCTTTATAGCAGAGAGCAAGAGTAAGTCTCCTATGTATATCTGAAATCCTTATTTCCTATTGGTAGGCTTATAGAGTTCCTTCTAACATCTCTTGCAAATTTATATTATTTATAAGTATAGTTTATCATTACTGGTTTTTATGAGACAATTTCTTAGGAAGAAAATTAGGACATTTTCTTCGTTTAAGTTTGGAATTTTTTTCTTTTCCCCCCAGATTCCTCTGTTCTTAGAGACAGCTTCTTATGAGAATGGGAATTTAGAAATCTTCGTTACTAAATTACCATCGAGAGGTATCTAAGAAAAAGAGTTATTAAACTCCTTTTTTGTCTTGAAGACTTTTGAATGTCCCTCACCCTCTGTAATTGCCCCCCAAAATGGCAGAAAAACGGCTAGGATATAGGAATAAATAGTTAGAAATAATCATGTTTCATTGCTCATGAAAATCTGAGGGTGCTTATTTAGTCTTATCTTCATTGGCATATGTGCATTTAGGGATGGTTTAGTATTGTTCAAACAACACTTACCATCCATGTGACCTTGAGTTTCCTCTCTTAATCTCTTGGGGCATCAGTTTTTTCAAAATTCAGGGATCTTTTGCATTCTAGTCCTAAAATTCTATGAGTCCCTAAGATTATGCTTCCTTGTTAAAATTCATGGCTAAGGATTTTATTCTTGTCCTTAAAAATTTTATTGCAGTTGAAAATGAAGGCGGGGAAACTACCATCGTTTCTTTCAAGAAGAGGTTTCTGATGAGGGATTTTTTTGAATTAGCTTTATGAGGCAGTACAGTATTTCTCCTTAAGTGACTGAAGTAGATGTAGCTGGGTTCTGTTTCAAATCTTCTTTGAATAAAACCATTTTTTTCCCCTTCTGGAACTTTAAACACATATTTTTATGATATGTTCACGTTTTTAAGAAGTTGTTGCTTTGCTTTATTTATTGATTATTTTTTATGGTTTCTAAATTTTTGTGAATTCTGATTATCATCTCAATTAGCATTCATGTTAAGCTAGCAGGGAATAATCAAACTTAAAAAAAATTAAAGTCCAAATTGGTTCCTTTTATTAGTTTTGATAGATTCAAAACTTCTAGGTAGGAGTCTAATATGATAGAAATTTATGTAGGGTACACCTTTTCTTACAGATTTTTATAGCTAATTGTGTCAGGACTACTTAAATTTTGAAGTGGCCTGAGCCTGAATAGGAGAGAAAATGATGTGCCTGACTTTATCTTCATGCTCTTCTGATAAATTCTTGAAGGAACCATTCTCTGCCTACAATTAATTTCTCATGTCCAGTGATCTTGATGAATAATCTGGAATCTAATCATAGACTTTCATGGATCTTACATAGTGGTTATTTTTTTAGAGCTTCAGAAAATTTCTCCTTTTTCTTGACTTTATTTTGACTGTTTCTCCCTTTTGATAATGCTGTTTGGAAACTGTAGTGGCATTGATGAATAAGAGAAAAAATAGAAAATTAATATAAAATATTTTTCAGATGTGTTAATTTTCTGTTTTTTCCACCCTGATTTAGCTTTCAGTTCAGATACTATAACTTGTTAGTTAAGGCTGGGTCTTTCTAAGTGTAGCTTTGGGATTTTACTCAGCTTGATCAGTATTGCAATCAGAAAATTCACAAGAACTTCTCACCTGTGTAAATGTGATTTGTTTTTTTATATTTTGAAAAATTAACCTGAACATGATTGTGTTTATTTCTGAACTTGCTATTGGAGATGGGTCATCCTGCTGAAAGCTCATTTACTTAAATATACAAATATTTTAACAGCATGGCTCATCACAAGTAGTAATGTTCAAAGACTATTAAGGTATTTTTCAGATACCAAGTTCTGTTTTACACAGGGTGAGAATCTCTTAGGAAATTTTCTGATTGCTTAAATTTTTATTTTTATTTTTTTTAAAGCTGTGTTATTTTTTAGTTCTTCATGCTTTGGAAGTAACAGTTGAAGAGAGGTGAGGAAAGTTTGTGAAAATTGTGATCGGTGATTAGCTGCCACCTGCCTGAGGTGTCTTCTGAGAGGAACTAACCTCTTTGTGGTGCTAGAGCAAGGTCACTGGATAAAAAAAAGAACAGGTAACCATCTTATTCCTTGTCTGAAAAGTTCTGTTTTAAAATTAATAAATGAAAAATGTTCATGGCAATATGAACTCCTTTTTAAAGAAGGTTTTTGTTTTCTCCTCAGAAACTAGTAAAGTGGACTATGTCCTTTTTCAAGCTGCCACAGCCATAATGGAAGCAGTTGTACGAGAGTGGATTCTCTTGGAAAAAGGTAGCATCGAGTCACTACGAACATTCCTTTTAACCTATGTCTTACAAAGACCTAAGTAAGTACATGGAGGAGGTACCGCTAGAATACTTTGCTAAGTTTATGTGTCTGTCCTTTTTGTCTTCTTGTTCTTCGGTTTTAATGATAGGCGTTTATGGTTAAAAATGTTATGTGGGGCTCATATTTTAAAAGCCCATAATACATACATGATTATAGGTTGTTTTGGTACTTAAAATAATACCTTTTATTTTAGCTTATGATATTTGATTTTGTTTCTCCAAAAAGATTGTGCTGGATATTAGGTTTTGTTGTTGTTGAGTTCTAAAGATTTTGCGTATAAATAAATGTTGATCTTGGACTCAGTCTAAAATCATTTATACTTTTTCTTTTGGTGCTTGTTGGGGGTAGTTATTTCTTTGAACATGTTTTAAATTTTGAATCATAAGTATTATTAAGATATAGGTGAATATCCCAGTTGGGGGAGGGGAGCAATTACCATTAACGAACCAAATGTTACATGTAGTTATACATGGACATATGCATAGACAAGGTTCTGGAAGAATAAGCACCAAATTCTTTAATAGTTTCTTTTGGAGAGAGACCAGGTTTGAGGAATGGGTTGAGAGTGAATTTTCTTTTTATGCTGTTCACATCTGTATTGTTTAAACATTTTACAAGGTTGTGTACATTTATTGCTTGTATGATGTTTTGGAAAAATATGAGGAAGATTATCAGCTATATTACAACTTTTGGGGTGAAATTAATTCACTACTAACCATTTTTTAAAAAGTCCCCCCAAACACCAAGTCTTCTTTTAAGAATAGGCAATGTATATTGTATATTTGCTGTTTGTACTTAGTACAGTACTTTTTGCATAGATGTTAACTTCCAAATTAATGAAGAAAAATTTTGCTACGTAATCAGCTATGCTTGTACTTAGGAGTGGCGATTTTTACGTAAATACACGCACAAAGCTTTAAATCTAATTTAGAGTATACTGTCAGCCTTTTGTTCCTACTGACTGTTCACTAGGAAAGTCTATGAGTTGATAATATTTAATAATAATTACTGATGTCTTCAGCCCTTAGTTATCCCAGGCTCTGGAAACTGCTTTACATGTAGAGAAATACATGAGAGAAAAAAGTTGAGGTTTACTTAGCTAATTAGCCTTACAGTGTAATGATATGTGTTCTGTAGATAAGTGAATGTGTGTGTGTATGTATGTGGGAGAGAGACAGGGTGGGGGGCATTTTTTTTCCCCCGGTTTTAATAGAGTAAGGGAGAACTACTCTTGGTTTTAAACCTTTCTCTTCTCCTTCATGCTGGTTTTATTTATTTATTGTACATTTTGCTTTTTTGGTGAGACCATTTGAGTGTGATATTAGCATGCCCTTCTGGTGTTTCCATTTAACTGTATTTGCTAGGCCTGACAGGACTATTTTTCTTTTGACCCCTCTGTACATAAAAGAAAGGTAAGTAGAAGTCTTGACAAGTGAGTGTTTTGTTGCATTATTTTGTTCATTTCTTTTGCATACACTTTAACTCACATTAAAACATTTGTTATAGGCAGCAATCATGGAAAAAGATAGACTTTGTTGAATTTTATTAAAAATGATATATGCTTTGATCTTTTCTTACCCTAGCAAAATATTTTTGAAATCCATTTTGATAATCTGTTCTTACGAGAAGTTGTTGAAGACAAATCTAGACCTTGACATTTGTATTTCTATGATTAAAAAAAAATAAACCTTAAGACATCTGTGTTTGTAAGAGTTTATATGTGTAAAGAATTTTTTATATTTTGGCCCCTAGCCTGAAGTGTTAAAGAAAAGAAAGTTGTCTGAAGATGTCTATTTATGTGACCTTGGGGAAATGACTTAAAAATCTCTTTACTATTCCGTTTTCTTACCTGTCAAATAGGGACTTGGTACCTGCTTGGTGTGGTTGGTGTAAAGATGACATGGACAGTCAGTCCCTGAGCACAGTGTCTGGTTGGCCCTGAGAGCTCCGACTGCTGCTGCCTCCACCATTGTCAGCTAAGGCAGTGTTCCTGAAGGAGTCAGGGCGGCCAGGGGAGCTTTGACTACATAAGACAAATTCTCTTTCCCCTGGGGCTTCTTATTTATTAGAACCACCCACCTCCCACCCTGGGAAGTGCTAAACTCAGAGTGTAGTAGATTGAAGTCTAAGACAAATATTGTGTATATGTATGTAGTCTCTTGTATTATCCAAAATAATGTTACTCTTAAATATTTTTTATTAGTTCAGAAGCTATTTTAGAGTTGATTGTAGGGTACCACAATTGAAATAGTTTGCTTATATATTTTTAAAGAATTAAAAAACTTTCAGAAAAGTTGAAGGAATAGTACCATAAACACCCACATACCCTTTTCCTAGTAAAGGCACGGTTAAGATTTTGTCACATTTGATTTCTCTCTCTCGTGCATATATGCCTCCCCTCCGAACCATTTGTGTAAGTATGCCAAAGACATCATGATACTTCATCCTTAAATATTTCAGCATGCCTTTCCTAAGAACATAATCTCAGTACTATTCTTACAATTGGTATATTTATATTATCTAATATATATTCCATATTCTAACTTCCCAGTTGTCTGAATGATGTTATTTATAGCCTCTTATAAGTTATTTTTTTGATCCAGAATTTAACCAGAGGTTATACATTGTATTCAGTTGTCATACCCTTTTAGTCTATCTTAATCTAGAACAATTCTCCTGCCTTTTTTTTTGGTCTTTTATGACACAGACAGTTTTACCTTATAGAATGTCCTACAGTATGGATTAGAGTCAGGTTAAAAAATTTTGGCGTACTATATATAGGTGGAAGACTACAGGTAATGTAGTATAGAATACTCCATAGGAAATGTGTGCTTCCTATTACATGAACAGGATGTTATCTTTTTTTTCCTCTTGATTGAAGTAAAATTTACATAGACTGAAATTCACAGTGTACTTTCTTAGAGAGGCAGAGGCAGTATGGCAGTGGGTTGAGAAATAGACTCTCAATCCCACTTCTCCCACTTACTAACTCTGTGACCTTAGGTAGATTACTTACCCTCTTTGTGCATTAATTTTCTGCTTATTAATGCAGTGAATGATAGTATTTAACTCAAAAGATTGTTGTGCAGATTGACTTATTAATTTTTGTACAGTTTATATAAAGCCTTGCATATCATAAGCACTCAATAAATGTTAGTTATTATTTATTTTCCTAACAATTTATAATTCTTGCAAACAAATATTTAAAACGAGCTTTGTGTACATTTCTGGTAGTAGTCTTCAGCTTTATGCACATGTTCTACTAGTAGTTAGTGTATTTGAAACTATTCTGTCCCCACAAAAGTACAAAAATTCCGTTTGGTCAACTAATATTCTTACACATAGTAGGATCTCTGTGTTTATTTACTTAATAAATGAAGGAGGAATTTTTCAAGTTTATGTTTTGAAGGAATATATTTCACTTCATTCTTGACGTAAGGAACCTGTTGATTCATTTCTATAAATGCCTGTTATGTGGCAGGTAATGTGTTTTGCCATGGGAATACAGTAGTGAGCTTAGAGTAGGCAGTGTATCTTGGCAGATACAGTTAAACAAGTAGTAACAGATGTGTGTGGGGGTGGTTCAGTGGTAGAATTTCCATGTGGGAGACCTGGGTTCCATTTCTGGCCAGTACACCTCATGCATAGCCATCACCCATCTGTCAATAGAGGCTTGTGTATTGATATGTTGTTGAATAGGTTTCAGTGGTACTTTGAACTAAGATAGACTAGGAAGAAAGACCTGGCAATCTACTTCCAAAAATCAACCACCTGAAACCTTACTGATCATGGGGATGGTACAGGACTGGGCAGTGTTTCGTTCCGTTATGATGGGGTCACCATGATTCGGGGGCAACTCTGGTAGCTAACAACAATAACAACAGATGTGTACATGTCATGTGAAGATTCTGTAGGAGCCCACACTAGTAATATCCAAGTCTAGAAGACGGGTTCAAGGAATGCTTTCTGGAGAAAGTGACATCAGAATCTTAGTAGAGGGAATAGAAGTTTAGAAGCCTGGAGGTACAAGAGCATGGTACCAGAAACTGAAAGAAGTTCAGTTTATCTGCAGTTTTGAGCGTACGTGGAAGAGGAATTCAGAGAGGGAAGGGCACATTTGATCAGGTAGCGTCTTTTAAATGGATGATCACATAATTTATGTCCAAACTGGGACACTTTTGAGAGTGAAAGAGCACTACTAGTGATTATGCTAGGTCAACAGGTAAATCGAGACTCTACCAGGAAAACTGGGATAGGTTATACTACTTATAAGTCATGTTAAGAGTTGGGGTTTTATCCCAAGGACACATGGTTGTTGTGTCCTTGTGGTCATCTGGAGATTGGATTATACAGTTCAAGATTATGTTTTTCTGGGACTAACCTTTAGGAGAAGATTGTGAAAAGGCAATAATATATTTCTGGGCCCTTGTGGTTGAATAGCTTTGTAGGATGCTTTGACTTGGGAATCATTGCTTCTGCCACCAGACTGAGGAACAGAACTTGGATATGAAATTTTAAAAAGTTTCTTGGAACTTGTAGGTATTCATAGTACTTTGTCTTGGATAGCTAGCATGTTACCTTTTCATATTAAAGGGAAATGGGACTTTACGATTATACTACTGCTTAGAGATGGATGTTAGATCAGATTCTTATCTCCGTATCAGTGGGATCTTAATCTGACTTTTAGTGATTTTTTTCCCCCAAATATTTAACAGGGAGCAGACCTACATCTATTAAACACTGTCTGAAGCAGCTAACACTTATATAGTGCTTAATATGTACCTGGCACAACTGTAGGAACATTTAATCCTTATAACAGTCCTATTACTATTATTGTTCCCATTTTACAGATGAAAAAACTGAGGCTCTTGAGTGCTATCTTGCCCAAGGTCACATAGGTAGTAAATAATAGGGCCCTGGTTTGAACCCAGGCATTCTGGCTTTGGAGTGTGTGCATAACCAGTTGGCTATATTACCCTCAAATGTAAGCAGTGTTATCAGTAGCTTCAGGCATAGTGGGAAACTGGGAGTATTTTTCATATCGAATTTAGGTAAATTTTTTCACAATGATTTTTATGTTTTACAGCCTCCAAAAATATGTTCGGGAACAGATTCTATTAGCAGTAGCTGTAATTGTAAAACGAGGATCATTAGATAAATCAATTGACTGCAAAAGCATTTTTCATGAAGTCAGCCAGTTGATAAGTAGTGGCAGTCCAACTGTGGTAAGTGTGCCAACTATTTATATTTATAAATATTTAAAATTTTTTAAATTAAAATGAATTTAATTTAAAATTACACAAACAGCATTTTAACAGCATTGATAGCTAAATAAAAGAAAGTGCACAATCCAATAAATCAAACAACTTTCGTTTCTCCAGGTTTTCTTCTAGTTCTCTTTTATATGTGTACATAATGTCGATACAGTGTACTTTGCTCTTTGATTTGATTTTATAAATTTTTTACATGTTGCCATGGTGTTCATAATCATTTTAATAGTTGTAAAATATTATAAGTTAATCATTGCAAAATACATAAAATATCGTCTATATTCTTAACCATTTTCCTCGTTTTTAATAAACTTTGATACCTGCTAGCGATTATAGAAATGTGCAAATATAAAATGATACCTGATAACAAATATCATTAAATGTTTGAAGGTATACCATGACTTCCAAGTGCTGCTGTCAACTGGACAGGTTGGAGAATCATGGTTCTTGACTGAATTACTTTAGAGAGCGTGACTTTTTTCCCCTCTCAGTCTTCTCTGGACTTTTTAGAGAGCTAGGGTCATGCCCAGAGACTGGTTGTAATCATTGTGTCAGAGGCAGGAGGAGCTTGAGTTGATCAGCTGTGATCTTTGATTAGAACTGTTGTCTTTAACCAACTGAATGATCTCTAACTCAGGTAGACATGGGATTGGTAATACCTGGCCATTCTGTTTCTCAGGTATTACATTTTTAAATATTATGGGTATTTTTTTCAGTTTCACAGTTTTACTTTTTTTCTTTAATCATTTGAAAGATAACTGTGTGAAACTATATATGTTACAACTCTTTATGAATTACTTTATATCTTCTGTGATCCACTCAGTGAATTGTATGATTTTAATAATACACTTGAGACTTTGAGGTTAAGATGTAGAGAGGTATGTGTTAAAAAAACCAAATCTGTTGCCATTGAGTCGATTCTGACTCATAGTGATTTTATAGGACAGAGTAGAACTGCCCCATAGGGTTTCCGAGGAGTGGCTGGTGGATTTAAACTGCCGACCTTTTGGGTAAGTAGTCCAGCTCTTAACCACTGCGCCACCAGGGCTCCGAGGTATATGTTAGTAGGGCCATGTACATTGGCCCTTACTTTCCACAGTGTCGGTTCTCTTATCCATCCCTAACTCAGTCTACCCAAAGGTACACTCACCTTACTGCTCTAGCCATCTTCTTTCTTCTTTCTGGCTGAGACTCCCATGTACAGGGATCTAGACTGAAGGAATATGTAAGCAAGCTTGTCAGTATTTTGGAACTTACTATACATAACCTGGATCTCTGGGTGGTGCAAAGGGTTTGTACTAGACTCCTGTTTTTTCTTTGGAATTCACCAGTGGTCTTGTGTCTATTCTTTTCTTCCTTACCACTCTGTTGAGAATAATTTACATACAATTTACTGCATCCATTTAAAATGTACCCTTTGACACGTTCTATTTTTTTTTAATTGTACTTTAGATGAAGATTTACAGAACAAATAGTTTCTCATTAAACAGTCAGTACACATACTGTTTTATGACATTGGTTAACAGCCCCACGACATGTCAACCATCTCCCTTCTAGACCTTGGAGGACCTTTTTTTTTTTTTTTGGGTGAAAATATACATAGCCAAAGGTACACCATTTCAAAAGTTTCTACATGTACAAATCAGTGACATTGATTACATTCTTCCAGTTGTGCTGCTATTCTCACTGTCCTTTTCCAAATTATTCTATCACCATTATCTTCAACTCACTGTCGCCTAGGCTTCCCATCAAACCTTTTGAGTTGCTGTTGTCAGTTTGATCTCACTTAGGTAATTCTTTTTTTTGTACCTTAGATGAAGCTATGCAGAACAAATAGTTTCTCATTAAAAAGTTAGTATACATATTGCCCTATGACAATGGTTAACAACCCCACGACATGTCAACACTGTCCCTTCTCAACCTTGGGTTCCCTATCACCATCTTTCCTGTCCCCTTCTTCCTTCTAGTCCTTGTCCCTGGACTGCTGTGCCTCATTAGTCCTGTTTTGTTTTATGAGGCTGTCCAGTCCCTGGCTGAATGGTGAACTTCAGGAGTGACTTCACCATTGAGCTAAAAGGGTGTCAGGGGGCCATACTCTCAGGGTTTCTCCAGTCTGGCCAGTACATCTGGTCATTTTTTGTGAGTTAGAATTTTGTTCTACATCCTTTTCCAGCTCTGTCCAGAACCATCTATTGTGATCCCGGTCAGAGCAGTCAGTGGTGGTAGCCGGGCACAATCTAGCTGTACTGGACTCAGTCTGGTTGGAGGCCATGGTAGCTGTGGTCCATTAGTCCTTTGGACTAATCTTTTCCTTGTATCTTGTTCTCTTCATTTTCCCTTGCTCCCGAAGGGGTGAGATCAGTGGAGTATCTTAGATGGCCGCTCACAGGCTTTTAAGACCCCAGATGCTACTTACCAAGGTAGAATGTAGAACATTTTCTTTATAAACTATGTTATGCCAATTGAGCTTGATATTCCCCGAGACCATGGTCCCCACAGCCGTCCACCCAGTAGTTCAGTCCCTCAGGGAGTTTGGAAGTGTCTGTGGAGCTTCTATGACCTTTCCCTGTACAAGTTGTGCTGGTTTCCCCAGTATTGTGTACTGTCTTACCCTTCACCAAAGTTACCACTTATCTATTGTCTATTTAGTCCCCGCTATCCCTTGTAACCAACAAACATTGTTTCTTTTTGTGTATAAACTTTTACATGAGTTTTTACAGTAGAGGTCTCATACAATATTTGTCCTTTTGTGATTGACTTATGTCACTCAGCATAACGTTCTCCAGTTTCATCCATGTTATGAGATGCTTCAAAGATTCATCATTGTTCTTTATCGTTGGGTAATGCTCCATTGTGTGTATGTACCATAGTTTGTTTATCCATTCATCTGTTGATGGGCATCTAGGTTGTTTCCATCTTTTTGCT